TTGCGTATTACGTTATTTGTAGTTTTTTTTTTGCTTTTTCAAAATGATCAGTAATTATATTGTGAAACACACCCATTTCTGCCGCCAAGCAATAATGTGGGCATTATTATATTCTGGTTTTGAAGGGCAAGGGTGCTAGTGAAATTACAGGCACATGAGACTTTTCAGCTTATGTCTCAGGGTGAGGGGCGCAGTGGCAATGCCCCTAAGATCTTTGCGATTTAAAGCTCTGAGTGGCATAGCAACTGCTATGGACAGGCGTGTCGCTTACCATCAGGCGCACGATTTGTTCGTGCCGTCACTTAAAATCATAAAAAAAAACCTATTAGCTAACTCTATCAATTTTATACTTTGAAAAAGTCGTGTATTTCATTATAAGAATGCAACCCATTCAATCCAAACAAGTAGTGTAAACAAGTTTTTTTTTACATTATTTTTCTTTAGTTTCTGTATGGATCAGAATGTTGGGCGATGAAAAGGAAGGTTGAACGACATGTGCATGCAGCGGAAATGCGAAAATTGAGATAGAAGTGTGGAGTCAAGAGAAAGGATGAGATAAGGAATGAGTACATCAGGGGAAATTTGAAAGTGGCGTCAGTAACGAAAAAGATGGCGAGTAATAGGTTAGCGTGGTACGGACATGTCATGCGGAGGGAATGTCGTGAGACGAGAAGGGTGTTAGGTATGAATGTGGAGAGATATAAGGGGAAAGGAAGGCCAAAGAAAAGATGGATGACAAGACAAGACAAGACAAGACAAGATGACATTGATAAGAAAGGTGTGTAAGGAAATGACGGCTGATAGGGGAGACTGGAAGAAAAGTACATTTTGTGCCGACCCCACCTAGAGTGGGATATGGACATTAAGAAGAACATGATTTTTTCTTTCGTTATTTATTATTAAAATGGATCACCACTTCTCAATTTTTTGTAGTAATTAGTGGTTAACGATGTTGGTGACACAATCATTGCAATATATTTACTGTAAAAAAAAATAGTTATAAGTTTTAATTGTGTCTACTGTTTGTTGACCCAAATAAATTTAAAAAAATGTAATATTTTTAAAACCCTTAGAGAATATAAATAATAAATTAAAATTAAGCCATATTTGACACCTGCTAACTAAAATTATTTTCTGAACTTTGACAAATAAGCGTGTCAGTAGATGGCATTGTGTGTTACAAACTAATTCATAAATTAACGCTTCCTAAAGCCGGATTTACATTTGTCTGACGTGTCATGCCGTGACGCGTCAGAACGGGATCGGTTTCATCATTGACTTACAAATAAATGGACGACGGGTCTAATACAAAAACCACGAAAAAAATGTCCCAAGTCAACCTATTCGAAATTTAAATTGTAATGTCATTGCAGTATCGCGCTGTCAGTCGAACAAATGAAGACTAAAGCGGAGTTTGGCGCTCTGTATACGATTTTAGCGCCTTACAAGTGCGGACACTTTTTAGCGCGGACCCGACGTCCATATAATTGTAAGTCAATGGGTTTCATACACACAGCAAATGCCGTCACGTCAGATTGCGACACACTAATTTAGGGTCGAAACACAAAACTGCGCAGAAATCTTCCAGCTCGCACAACGCATCGCAAGAATTTGCGAATTGCGTCACAGCGCATTCTTTGTGTTTTTTTCCTATACTTTCTTATCAATATGAGCAGTACAACACTCTTTTTACGATCCATGTCGCTACCTAGTTTAAAAAATACGTTCAGTACGGTTGATGATCTTCGAAGGGATGGTTACCCGAACCGTGGCAGTGAGATGCCTTGCCGTAGGAAATCGCATCGCAGCATTTCGCGTCGTAGTTTTCTGCGTTGTAAATTCGCCTATTCGCAGTTTTGTGTTTCAACCCATAAATCTAACCGTATTAAATGTATGAAACCGATACCGCGTGACCACACGACACGTCAGACAAATGTAAATCCGGCTTAATACGGATGAGATGGAGCTAATCCTAAACAAAATAAAAGAATAGCCGGCACTATCCAGAATAATTTATGCCATAAGCGCCATCTAGTAGGTTTATTTGTTATCACTAGGAATTAGAGTAGCTTTGACAAATTGCAAATGTCAATGTAAATGTGAATTTATTACTCGTCGCGACATCTGGTGGACCAAAAGGTACTAAATACCCGATTACGCTGACAAGAAGTCATCTTGAGTTATTGATCCATGGTATATGTGAGATTTCGTCCTATTTAAGCACAAAAAGTAGAATCCTTAAACCACAGTTGCATTGTTCTCGTTTTCAATAAATACCAAAGTGACCAATACAATTCAAAGTCACTACAGTATGGGCAATAAATAAGCGATAAAACGTTAAAGGATTGTGCGGAATCGGCGGCTGCGGCTTCTTCACGATCTAACTAAGCACTGCACGCGACTTCTCACGTTACAATAAATGTTTTATAGAATAAAAACACACTTGAAATGATCTGTTATTGAAAACTAGCTGGTGCCCGGGATTTCGTCTCGAATAAGTACTTGGAAAAAGAAGTTTATTTATTCATTATTATTTATTATTAGAATTTAAAAAGGGGTACAATATACTTAACTAAACATGGTCCTACAAAACTGTATTATACAGTTTGACTGCAGAATCGAAATGAGTCTCAATTAAGTAAAAAGTTAGAAACTGACACTGACACTCAGTGAGGTTAAAAATACTTAAATAATATGTGAAATAATGTTTCAACATTTGTTTACAATTTACATATTTATTTTCATGTCTAATAAATAGTACGTTTATTTAAGGTTATAGAACCTCCACAGTATTACAAATTTCCCACAGGTTATTGACCTTGTATTATAGTTGTTATCGACTTTACACAACCTAACCTACTTACTTGAGAAATGATTGGTTCTCCATACAAACTTTTCACCCCATTTAAGATTGATTTTTGTAACAAACAGTAGGCTATGTCCTTCTCCTAGTTCCCATCTATCCCTATACCAAAATTTATCAAATTTGGTTCAGCGTTGAACCGTGAAAACGTAGCAGACACGGTAACTTTCGCGTTTATAATAGTAATTTGGATGAATTGAGGTTCCGATAAAAACTTCTATGACACGTGCACTAGGTAGTGCACGTGTGTTTTGTTAGATTTATTTTTATGGCACTTCACTACTTTGTGCCAAGGCCAAGGTAAATAAGTAGTAAATGGACGCGAAGAACCAATATCAAAGTTATTTCATTTGACATTCAATAGAGTAAAAGAGAACTATAGTAAAATTTTTTGTCCTTCGGGATTGGCTAAAGCGTCTAATTGGGCATACTGCCAGATCTTAGATTGTAATTTTTCTTCAATAATCTTATTTTCCAACATTTTTTCGCGGGAAATCGTTATATCTTTACGGTGGCCATTTTGAAACTCCTTAAATTAATAGAATTAAAAGTAAACATGTTAAATGTTTATTATTTAATTAGAATGTATAATAAATAAATCAAACTAAAAAAATTTTTAATTCTTAAGTAAAATAAATTTACTATTTATTTATTATTTATTTTATTTGAAAACGTAATTTTTTAAGTCATTGCTCATTCACTGTACTGACTTCGCTGAGAAGAACGAACAAGAAACTTTAGGGATTGCACTTTTTAAATAAACTTAAATGCTATGGAATACACTTTGAATCAAATTTGTATGGAATCTGGAGTTAAGTCGTCGTTCCATACATCTTTATCTAACACGAAGTCCTCAATTTTGTAATATGACTTCAATTCAATTAAAATACTTTTAATGTAAGTCTTACACTTAGAATTTCATTGTAAAAACTTATAGTTTATCGTTAAACGAAATCATAATAATTATAAAATTATATTTTTATATTATGAGATTATGGCATAGACTTCGCTATGAAATGACATTGTAAAATGTTAACATCGACTAAGATTAAACTACGACAAAACACGAACAGTTGCTTTCAGAAAATAACTATACATCCCGAAATACCCGCTTTTTCCATACCAATATACAGCTTCTTTTACCCGTCTTCACCTACAACAAATCTCCTAAGAACATGACTAGACCTATTGATATTTCACTAGTGATGAAGTGTTTGCCGCAACTCTATAACCTACAATATAGTCGTTAGACAAACCTGCTGAGTTCAATGTAGGCTTCAGTCTACGAAACCAATTGCCCCATAAATTCCGTCAGACTCTTAAAGGCGATATAGCTTACGTCGTCCAATTTTATATGGCCTCTGCGATGCACACTGCGTTTACGCATCAAAAGGTCTTGCGTCGAAGCACTTACCTGGCCGAAACCAATATCCTAGGTGACCTGGACCCCGATTCAGAATTTAATTCGATATTTTAACCGAATCGTTTGATAAAATATAGAAATGCATTAGTTTTGCATTAAAAGAAATAATCATACGGGTGTGACGTCATGACGGTTCGGTTTCCAATACGACAATTTGACGTTCGATTCGGGTGATGTGAATAAAAATGAAAAAGAAATCGGTCGACAACTGAGTTATCGTAAAGTTCTGAATCGATCCCTTGTTCATAATAGGCTACAAACCTTCCTCATGATCCTAAAGATATATGAGCACATGGAGAATGAAAGAAAAGAGCACAAAATATATTTTAGGCCCACAAGTTTCGTAAATACAGTTGATGCCCCAAGATACCGAATCGTCTAAAGTCGGACAGGGCCTTTTGGTTCTGAGAGTATTCTTCTTAAAACGTCATTCACTAAAGAAGTTGACAACGACTTCATGCATTAACTGCATGCTGTCGATCTCGGCTGTATGAAGTCTGTTTGGACATGGTTTCGACTGCATGCAGTCGAGGTCTCAGTTGCGTGAAGTTAATTACGATTTCACGCATTAACTGCTAACGTGAAATCTGTTAGCAGCCTAATAAAGCAATAAGGAAGTTATACTTATTAATTTTACGACTCACACTGATCTAGTCAGAATCAAATAGAAAGTTAAGGGGTCAGATATCTTAGTGCACCGATTGTACCACTTACCTGAAAGAAGAGAGTGAAGGCGACCCATTGGTAGTATTTCCCGTAGCGTCGCGGCGAATTACCCGCTCCCCTCACTCCAGGATAGGCCCCAGCCTCGCCCGCTACCGTAAACGTCGAGTGGATCCAGCAGTACGTGTTCAGAACGTCTTCCGGGATGTCCCTAAATGGTAACAATAGCCGTTTAGATTTTAAGAAAACTGTCCGCATGTAATCTAATATAAAGAACTTTTTGATACATTGTACTGAATCGATGTCTCTAGAATACAACTGTATATTTCAGTAAAAGAAGCCATTTTAAATGCCTTGTTGCAGCAAAAACCGTTAATTAGAATGCTCCATTAAACAATATGAAGTTTCAAGTTTAGCGTTTTAAGTAAAGAAAATTTGAATTTAAAAACCTTTCTACAAACTCAGTTCATTATTTTTACATACTTTCTCACTTTTCGTTAAATTTAGAGTACAACATATTTTTAATTCTTGTCGGCAGTATTAATATTTCTGAGTGCACCCGAATACGAATTTCCATGACTATCTCTGGTAATTATTATATTTATTAACCAAAATAGTTCTAATTCAGATCCCGTACTATATTGTTGTTTTGTTTGTACTCTGTGATATCTGTCCTATATATGAAAAATTAACCTAATTATTATTATAAATCTACAACAAATCTTGCAGATGCAACTGCAGATCTAAAGCGCAGTTTCGCTGATTAATACTATTCAAGTCCTATGCAGTGACTCCGACTAAGCCTTAATTTTGGCCACGCGCCAACCCCCAGTCGCGCAAGCTAATCAATCACTTCTTCCTTGTTACATTTTACATTTACATTCTGCAGTTAAAACATTGTTGTGCACGTTTAATGCTTTAAAACAACAACAAAAAATAGACAAAAAAGGTCTTTCCCGCATTCCCCGCTTACGCTCGCAAATTATTTATAGCGCCATCTATGAAATAACGTTGGAACTACGTGAAGAGCTCACGCACTAAAAGGGCGGTGGCTTAAAAGAGCTTACCTAGTGTGAATGCAGTCAATAGGGTTGCCCACTAGATGGCGCGTGGTGAGTGCGGCGCTAGCCGCTAGTAGTGCGGCTGTAGTTGCACCGCAGTGGAGGCGGAACGCTACAGAGTCGATCTTCGGGTTTACTCCTTGCTGCTTGATAGAGCAACAAAAGTACGCTTTCAGTTGAAAGTTACGGACTATATGTATTTTTATAACAATATGCGCTTAGATAGATTTCTAAACAACATAAATCTGCATCATTTTGTATAATGTATATAGTCTACAAATTAATTACTTTTCGAGTTTTTGTTTTCTTCGCAAACGAAACTGTTTTTACGGATTTTTTTTATAATACCAAGTGGCGGGACGACCAAGTCGTGCGCCTGTTGGTCAGCGACAAGCCTGTCCATAACAGTCGCAGTGCCACTCAGAGTTTTAAAACACAAAGATCCGAGGGGCACTGCCATTGCGCCCGTCAACACAGGTCGATAAGTCTCTTGTGCCTATATTTTCACCAGTACCTTGACAGTTCTAAAACCGAAACTCAATAATGCTCACGTTACTGCTTGGCGGCAGAAATAGGTAAGGTGGCAGTTCTTTCCTTGGACGAACTCTTTCACAAGGACCTCTACTGCCATTAAATTTGTAGAAGGGAATGTCTATGTTATACGTATTCTTTAGTATAGCTAAATTAACTTCCTCAATTCCGATAACTGGTTATTTATTAGTCATCAACAACGTATGTTTAATATTAATGCAAACCAACCTATTCTGAACATAGTTACAAAAAATATTAGTTTATATAACGTACAATAAGTTCTTCAGCTGTATTGATATCATTGCATACACTAAATATTCATTTAAGCGACGAATTAGAGAAGTAATTTATTCACCATAAGCTGTTTTATTTGAGTTCTAACCTATTATGTACATTTAAGTTATAAACTATTGATATTTTACCTTCTATTTACGTATTTATTTATAACACGTTCACACTTTGATTACTATTATTATTATTTTTTATTTTTTTATTTTTTAGTTAATACATTTAAATAAAAGTCCTAGTTATAATAAATTATAATATAGTTATGTATGTTGAACTAACATTTACATTTTTGTTGTTGTTGTTTATTAACTCATAAGCACACTATGTCACGTCATGTTATAATTTATGTTTCTGTGATATCCTGTAATTGGCATCATATACTGGTCATGTAAAGTAGATTTTTAAGCTCTAATTGTATGCTGTTGGATGTCCTTCAATAAATAAAATAAAATAAAATATATATTTTATTTTTGTATGCTATGTTAGACATGTGCATGTATATGCAAGACTTGTTTTTAATATAATAAATTCGTCCAATTAAAATGAATTATGTCCTCTCTACATACACTTGTCCTAATCATATCATACTAGATTTACATAGTAACATAATTTATTTGTTACTCATAGGAAATGAAACTATTTTTCCGGATTTAAATCGCGTATATTTGTTTTTTCAAACAAACCGACGTTTCGGGCCCTTTACAGGTGCCATGGTCACGGTTGACTGAGGTGGTACAGTCTTCAACCAGTTATGTCTAATATTGATGCAAATTATTTGTTACTGCTATTTTGTCAGAATATTTTTACTTGACGAAAGTAATCAAGACAGTGGTATGCCGTGTTCTTAAACAACGACTCAGTGCCACTCTGCCAATTAAAACCAACTAAAAAATCTGCTAAAAGTGACCGACGGTGAATGACTTATTATGCAATAAAACTGATAAAAGTTTTTGGTAAAAATCCGCACCACCGTGGAAATACTGAGTTTGGATTCAAATTGCACAATAAATTAAGCATTAGCTTAGCAACTCTAACAGCTATGTTAGATCGTCTTGATCGCAGATATCCAATAACAAATATATTAATTGACTATGGCATCTCTGTTTGATCCGTTGATTTAAACAATGTTTTTAAATACCTGAAAAATGTCCGCCAAATAAAAACCAGCAGACGCCGCCGCCGATAATTTTACGAACGGCGCACATGTTACAGGTACCAAAATTAATATTTTTTGTAATTATAGTTCTAAACAGGGTGGTTTTTAACTGGTTGATGACTAATAAATACCATCTCAGTTAGCCGTGACTATGCACTTGAAAAGCCCGAAATGTTAGTTTGTTTTTGTACAAAATAGTTTCATTTAAAAATTTATTACAACCAGTATAACAATCTTCATTTCCTGGGACAAAACAATATTCGTTTTCTTTGTAAATACAAATTGTATTTAGCTCAGTAAACACGCCGCCTGTTGGCACAATTCTTTTCCTAGACAATGTAAAGCGTAATTTATTTATCGCTGTACCACGCTAATTATTAGTCGAAAATTAATTATGCTAATTGATTTATGTCCGTTTAAACAAAGACCTGTGCTCACTCTTTCAATGTCATTGTGGAGTACACTAAACAGCTGAGTAAAAACTAAATTACAAAACAGTGTATTGCTAAATACAATGGAAATTATTTATTTATGTCACAACATAGACATACATACTGTAATATATTGTATCGAAGTATATTAAGTACTAGCTTTTTCCCCGCAAAATTGTAAATTACGTCCGTTTGTAATGGTTTGAACAAAAAGTCCGTGCAGTTTTTGCCTTTTTTAAAAATAATCTAGGATCATCGCTTGTAACGACGTGCACTAATTTACGTTTTTCATTAATTATTTTTATAAGCGTCTAAATAAATACATTAATTAAATTAAAAATAACACCAAATCAATATTTATTTGTGAGATATAAGCGGAAAAATGCATTTGCTAGAGATGAGGTATATGGGTAACAAGTTTTCGTTAATGTAATTAATAAATATCCGGGTATTCATTTTTAAAGTATGAATTTTAATTATAGGCAACGAATTAACATGTCAGTGCTATTACTTTTTTGAAACGTATAAAGTAATTACATGATGTATTTGAAATTTTGTAAAATATTTGAAATTACATTTGGAATAAAGTTGGGTCTTTTATGCCTTCAATGTAATATACAATATAATTACAAAACACTTCACACTTCTATACTTGGTTCAGAATACGTCACAAAAGTAAAAGTTTAAGAGAGTATTCTTGCTTCAAAAATCAAGTACTCTAAAAATCTACATCATCCCTTCAAACGACAAACGTTAAATGAACCACAGAGATCAAGCTAGCCAACTTAAAGCATAAAAAGAAGTTTTTCTTTTTAAAATGTAGTGTTGTCTGTGGTCATTTTAAAAATACAATTTTAGCGCGCATTTTAAAAATAGGCGGGAAAGTTTTCGAAGGGGTATATAACATTTATTAAGTCACCAGCATGTTTTTACGTTTTGTTTACAAAGTAGTTAGTCAAATAACCTCGTATTTTGTCTTTGTCCATAGGACGATACAACCGATCATCGTCGCTTGAGTGCGTTCCTGGCAATCATGATATAAACCGTGTATCTTTCAACCCGGACACTGTCAGAATTGTCCTCCGTGGGACAGAAGCCAAAACAACAAAAAAAAAAAACAAAGTGTTTTGCCGATAATACGTAATTCATATGAAAATAATGATAATGTCAAACCTAATACTCAGGTCAAAAACTACTTCAGTTAGATTGAGATGTGTTGTACCTCATCCAACGCATTCATTCGACTTAGCCCTTTCAGATTTTAACTTTTTCGGTCTTTACTAAATTGTTTGAGTGAAGACGACTATCAAACGTCTCTTAGGGTCGTATTCCAGAACTCTACTCAATACTCAAGTCAGGACTTGAGTATTGCAGTGAGCACTGAAAATCATACTCAAGTACTTGCCATTAGGGTCGTATTTCCAGTGCTTGAAATCATACTCAAGTCTGCTCAAATCCTGACTTGAGCATTGAGTAGAGTTCTAGAATACGACCCTTAGAGCTGTATTTTATAAGCAAACACAGGAATTCTTATAAAAGGCAAATTCTACAATTATCGGTAACATGGCAAAAGATTGTAGATCAAACATAGCCAATACATAATAGATTAAACTTTGATATTTTTCTTTGTCGTGAAAAACTTTATTCTACTTTGCCTTTGTGGCCGAACAGTTACCATGCTGGGCTGCCACGCAAAGGTCCCATATTCAATTCCCGGAAAATTATTTGTATTGCCTACGTTTGTTTATCTCATGAGTTTGGGTGTTATTTGTAGTTTCCTTTGTGTATGTCCATGGCACCCGCGATACAGGGTTTCCTTAATGCGGTGCTATGAAAAAAGTATATAATTATCAATTTTAGCATAATTTTATTCTTTTTCTAATATGCAAAACCAATTTACTGAACTTCAGTCCTAATGAGGTAAAATACATAGGTTTTAAATAGTTACCCCGCCGGAGAGCAACGCATAGATGCTGGTTAAGATCTCCATGGGCCTGCGCGGCTGCGCGGCGCGCTCGCGCCTGCGCCAAGTGCCGCCTGCGCTCGCGCTCGCGGCCGCGGCCGACGCAGCCCGCGCCGCAGCGCCGCTACGCCCGCACCCTCGTCTGCCCCAGGCGACGCCTGATTCTCTAAGAAAAAAAACATGTATATAAAACTAAAAACCAGTATGAAATAGGACAGTGACGATGCGGCCTCTAGTCTGGTTCCTGGCCACTTATTTTAAAAAATTTTGAATTTTTCAATCGCACTCTAATTCAATTTCATAGTCATTCTTGTTTTGCTTCGTTCCGTCGTCACTCCCATCACAATTCTCGAAAAGAAAGGACGTGTGTGTCGTAAAATCTCAATCATTTAAACCTTATGATTCATTAACTGCTCGTAAACCGTCGAATTTTATGCGAATATTGGCCTTTCTTTTTGTTTTTTTTAACCTCTTCTTATAAAAAATTTTACGTGGGCCGAGTCTTCTCTTTGATTTCCAAAAAGCCAAGGCTGGGCTACAGGAGAAACCATAACACAGTTAAAGTAAAATCCACTGTAAAATTTCCAATGAGTATAACGTCATTTTCACAATTTACAATCTTTATCTACAATTATTATTAAGTCATTAATAATAATTGTTGCAATTACTGTTTTTTTACTCCAGTTACTAAATAAACAATTATTATAAATGAAATTACAGAGGGGTATGTACTCATAAGCTATCAATGACATACTTGATAAAACAAAATTGAATTAATGTTGTGCAATAATTTAAAGTAAACTATACTATATGAGATATCGTTCTCAATGAATGACCAACCGGTTCCCAAAATAACAAACAGTAATAGGGTCTTCAACTTACCGATCGTACCTACTCGCGCCACTGCGCAGGCGGCAGCGTCGGCGACGGGGCGGTTAAAAACGGAACAATTAACGTGAAACAAATACACCGCCGATCTGACGGCCGGCCCGCGATTGCCACGTGCTCTGAACTAAACCCAATTTTGAGAGAAACCGACGGATTTGTGTACGTATGTTGAGACGAATTCATATTGGAGCAAGAAACCCAAACATCGAGGAAATATTTACAAAAAAAGTATATGAACGGATAGATCGATCAACAAAACTGAAAACAAGTACAGTGTCTTGCTGCATATTGAACGTTACACAATCAGAAATTATAAATTTAGACAAGTGTAGGATGTTACAAGAGGCGACTGTGAACATAGACTTCCTAGCTGGAAAATCATATATGACAGCTGTTAAAAGATAGTTCACAATGAAAACTATGAGTGCTGGGCTTATTAAAAAAGCACATAATGGATGTGATTGTAACACAGTATGACATTTTGTATTCTTCCCTCGAGATGTCAGACGGTTTGAATGCTCCATGAAGCATTTTAATAAAAACTCATCTTGTAGTAACAAAACTGATAATTGTTTTTACAAATGTAAAGTACAATAAATACAAATGTAATTGTGTGTTAGACTTAACAAAACGCGTTAAATAACGAACAGCTTGGAAGCCTTCCAAATTGACCAACAAACACTGACAAATGTACTACTGGCGCCCTATCATCTAATTCAAGTATGTTTAATGTCCAATTAAATAAATTCTCACGTGTCATTAGAAGCAATATTCATTTGTTACCCCCGTTGACTGATTTACTACCCCAGATTACTTTAAGATATCATACGGAAAATACGTAAACATGCAAATGGGGTACGCCAGCACGCAACCGTGAGCAACTCTGGAATTTAATCCTATAAAAGATCTATTGGACTGAAAGATAAAAGAAATACTTAAAAAGAAAGAAAATCAACAAACAAATGCATAAAATACAATGTTCCTTTGACTTTAAAAGAGAATGTCAAACAAATACAGATGGTCTACAGTGTCAGACACTTCCCACGTACTTAGGCGCCGAGATTGACGGCGAAACAACTGTGGCAGTTTGTTTTCACGTTTCTTTGTCTGTATGATAATTTGTGAATCAGAAGTAAATTTGGAAGTCGGTCAAACGTCTGGTCAGTGATACACTTCTTGTGTTTCTCAATTCAACAATTAACTACAGTTATTTTTAGATTACACACGTAATGGACAACAAGACTGATCTTTTTATATTTCAAAAGTTAAAGAGATGACACATTTATGAGACTCTGTAAAATAGCAATATTTTTTGGCAATTATTTCTTCGTATTTTAATGTGTCATATTGTTAATAGGTCTATATGTTCAGCAGATCGTATGCTTTTTAGACTCTGACGTGTGCTTTGACTGGGCAGCCAGTAAGAAGATATTTAAAATATCCTGGTAATGGCTTATTACTCCGTTTCGATAGCGATTGATTATTTATTTAATATTACCGCATCCATTGTAGTCGCATCAAAAATAGCCCGATCCAGTTCATCTGCGTGAATTTGTTCTAAATGTAAACAACCGTCGATTCGGTCCACCTTGATCTACAAAACTGTTTATTTTTCATTTACATTAACTACCATATAAAAAATAATTATGTCGTAGACTTAATCCACGTTTACAATCTGAAAGCAGTTTTCTGCAACATAGGTTTATGTTGAGTTAATGTATTTTTACTTTTTAGAATACTTAAATTAGTAGTCAAATATTCAATGCACATAAGGTTCTTTTGCCTAGCGACTGGTAATTCATACATATCAATTCATCAATATTTACCTTCTATTACAAATCCTCTGAGAGCGAACCCCTCCTTCGGAGCGTCCACCGGACGTCTTTCCCATCGGGCGGTCGGCGCGCGACTGACCGCAAGCCGCCTAGCCGCGACCACCCGCCGCTAGCGCCATCTCGCGAGATGACATCACAACTAAAACAAAAACATACAAATGAAATAATAATCTATCTTATTTATAGAAAGTTCTATTAGAAAAATAGATTGTAATGAGTTAAGAATTTTATATTCCCTCCCTTCCTCCTTAATCAATAATATTAATGTAATGTGCCAAACAAGCACAATTGTTTGGTCTCAAATGAAAAATTCCCTGTACTATGAGTACCAAAGCAATAAAATCAATTCACTCTATACCCAAACCACCCACACCTAATTCAGAAAAGTTAATTTCCCAAATTGATCCTACCGGGAATAGAACCTGAGATCTCCACACCCAATGCTCACAACGCATACCGCTGAGCCCCCGCGGTCGTCAAATTCGACATATATAATTCGATATCATAATAAAACGTAAGTTTTAGTAGTAACAAGGCTCAAAAGAGTTCATCTAGGGAAGTACTGCGACCTTGCCTATTTCTGCCGCCACGCAGCAATGTGAATATTACTAGCGTTCCGGTGTTGAACAGTAAGGGTGCTGGTGGAATTACAGGCACATGAGACTTGTCAACTTTATGTCTCAGGGTGACAAGCGCAGCGTCAGTGGCCATCGGATCTTGATGATTGAAAAGTATAGGCGTGTCGCTTACCAGATGCACGACTGGTTCGTCCCGTAACTTGATAACTTAAAAAGAACACAATTGTGACGGGAAATAAAATTATTTCGATTCTATATTTAAATAATTCAAAATTATAACAAAAGACGAATTTACTTCCTGCAAAACAATGAACAGTTAAGTTATTTAGTTGCAATGTCGGCGTCAAATTTCATAGGGCACTTTACCCTGGAGCTTCTTAAATTTCCTCTAGACGTTTCCTTGTCTGAAACGGACAGCCTTTTAAACTACATGATTCTAGGGTTGCCACAATTCTGTGCTCTTCACAGAAAAAACGGAAATATGTTCAATTTGTGAAATTTTTACCGTATGAGTTAAGGATGATTTCAGTGTCATAGTAATTTGTGTGTTTACTAAACAGTAGAACTCCTTGTGACAGAGTTCAGGGTCAGTTCTTGTGCTAGGGAAGTACTGCCACCATGCCTATTTCTGTCGCCAAGCAGTAATGTTAGTATTATTGTGAAGGGTACGGGTACTGGTGAAATACAGGCACATGGGACTTGTCAACTTATGTCTCAGGGTGACGGGCGCAGTGGCAGTTCGTCCTAACACTTGATATGATTCACAGGCACTCGACTACTGCGAATACAAAAAACTCTGTTGCCACATACCGCCAAATCACTTTCCCATGCAAATCAAAATCAAAATCAAAATAATCTTTATTTCATAGGTAAGCATTATTACACTTGAAATCGTCACAATGGTTAAACTCTACCGCTCATTCGTAAGGCAGATTCCCCTGAGAAGAATGAGCAAGAAACTCTAGGGGTTGCTCTTTGTAAATAACATTTACAATATTTTTTTATTTGAAACATCAGATTGAGACTACCTCCATGAGCTAAACGGGTTACTACCACGGATTTTTGTCATCCAAGTACGCAGAAGTTGTATAATAACCTTTAGTATAAAGTTTTTGTTTCACTATAGTTTTAAACCTCGTGAAAGGCAAATTTTGTATATCAACCGGAATCTTGTTATAGAAGCGTATACATTGCCCCTTAAATGATTGTTTGACTTTGTGAAGACGACTATCAAGAAAAGCTAGTTTATTTTTATTCCTCGTATTAATGTTATGTCTGTCACTATTTTTCATAAAGAAATTACTATTCCTTTTAACATAAATTATATTTTCATAAATGTATTGTGAGGCTAGTGTAAGAATGTTAATTTCCTTAAACTTATCTCTCAAAGATACTTTGGGGCCCAGATTGTAAATTGCCCTAACTGCACGTTTCTGCAGGACAAAGATTCTATTGATATCGGCGGCATTACCCCAAAGCAAAATGCCGTATGTCATTAGACTGTGAAAGTAGCTGAAGTAAACCAATCTAGCGGTTTCGACGTCTGAAAGTTTCCTTATTTTTTTAATCGCGTACACTGCAGAGCTGAGCCGTTTTGACAACTTACTTATATGGGGACCCCATTGCAATTTAGCATCTAACGTTATACCTAGAAATACAACTGTATCCACAAGATTCAATTTTTCGTTTCTAACTACAATGTTTGTAACCGTCTCTCTAACATTGGGTAATGTAAATTTCACACAATTTGTTTTTTTCTCATTAAGAAGTAGGTTATTAACAGCAAACCAATC